GTCTGAGATGTTATTTTGTGCCTAAAACGTCGGTGTGGAGTGGTGACATCTACATCATAATTACAAAAAATAAGGTCGCTAGATTGTCTTCCTTGGGAACCCGGGAATGAGGAAAGCAAAGTAATACATACCTCGTGCGGAGTGTTACACACAGCCAATCCCACAAGGCCAGTGGTCTGTTCGAAAAACAAAAGATGCATGCTATTACTACGCTTTCCATGCGTGGTGGCTTCATGGTAAGGACCTGCGCTGCGATCCCAAGGCCAGGGGTTCGAGTCCACTACCTGTCCGATGGACACTCCAGGATGATTTACTGCCTCTAAAAAACCCGCTCAGGGGGTCAGCTATGGCTCGGTTCCACCTGGATGGCACACAACAATAACAACGACGCATTTCCCACGGTAAGGGAAAGCGACTGCTTTCTTTTCTGGTTTACAGCCAGCTACTGGTCTCAACCTGGCTTGCAGGAGCTTTGACCTGCCTTTCTCCCCGGGGGACCCACCGGCCAGCTCATCCCCGAAGGCCGTGCAGGATAAGGCTCCGAGGAGCACTGGGCCCGTGCTGGCGACGGCCACCACCGCGGGAAGATGGGGTACCAGGCTCATTCTGCCCCCAGAGCCCAAATTCTAACGGTGACCTCCACCGGCCTCACCTTCTTCAGCAGCCCCGCCATGACAGCTCCGCCCCGCCCCCGGCGCGCAGGCTTCTGGGAACGCCGCTCAGACCCGCTCAATCAACCGCCGAGGACGCCACTCCGTCTCCTAGGAAACAGCGCGCCCCGCCCCTCAGGACCAGGGCAAGAAGCTGAGTTCCAGTCTTGAAAGTGGAAGTTCACGCATGCGTCCTGATCAAGCAAACATCTACACTGTCTTTTGAGGGGCAAGTGGGCGGTTGGTTAGATGTTTTACGACGTTGTTTATGCCCTGTCGCTATTGAGTGCTTACCAGCAACTAGAGGAAAACACTCTAGGCTGAAAAAACCTTCCCTATAGTAGCTTTTTTTTTTTTTAGTGTTGAGGACTCTCTTTTATAGGGTCGCTATGAGTCCCCTGCAACTGGATGGCACTTAACAGCAACAACATAGTAGCTTTAGGAACTTGCACTTTGCTTAACACTGGCAACTTCTTCAAAGTTGTCATCGATTTCTTATTATTTGAATGCACAATCAACATCCATGGTAACAGCTGTGAAGAAATCAAGAGATTACTAATCAAGTGTTCATTTGCATTGAGAATATATGTTATGAGAGACCTTTCTAAAGTTCCAAAGAGCAAGGTTGCCAGTGTAAAGACTAAGGTGATCCTGAACCCAACCAAGGAATGCTTGATTCCTGTGCATCTCGAAGTCGGACAATGGGCAAAGATCACAGTGAAAGAATCACTCACTGCCTTTGACATGTGGGGATGGAGAAGGGTACCAAATAAGCCATGGGTGGTCAAAGACAAAACAAGCTGTGTTGGAGGAAGTGCAGCCAGAGTGCTGCTTAGAGGCAAGGATGGTGAAATCCAGCCTCGGAAACTTTGGGCATGTTGTTAGGAGAGGCCAGGCCTAAGAAAAAGAGATCATTATAGGAAAGGTCAGAAAAAGAGAGGAAGAGTCCCCTACAAGATGATTTGACACAATGACTGTACCTATGGGGATCAGCATATGGGAGATTGTAGGAATAGAACAGAACAGGGAAAAAATTTAATATAGGACAGGTTGCTGAGAGTGAAAATCACCTCCATGGCACATAACAGGTCTTTCATGGGAGAAAAATGTACCACTCAGTTTCTGTGAAGATGACGGTCTATATACCCAAAACCTCAAACTCATTGCCATCTAGTCAAAACCTACTCACGGCAGACCATCCACTGGATTTATGAGGCTGTAAATTTCATGAGACAAAACTGTCTTTCTCCCTTGGAATGGCTGGTGGATTTGAACCACCAGAGAAATGTAACCTTTGGGTTAATCGCACAACTCTCCATGGATTGTTGTTGTTAAGTGTCATTGAGTCGTAGATGATTCATAACGACCCTATGAACAAAAGACCTGAATACTTGTATAACTTTTGTTGTTTCTCCATGTTCATAGAGTTTCTGGAGGCAAGCCGTTTCGGAAGAGGATGCCACTCCTGCTTCCAAGCTTCTTTTAATCAGGAAGCTTCACCAAACTCTGTCCACCGTGGGTAACCCATGGGTAACCATTGTCGTGTTTCACTCACCACTGTTTAGCATAACAGCAACCACGAGTTACCTCTGTATGGAAAATAGACTAGTGCTAATCCTCACTAAAACCAGCAAACAAACCTCTGTAGAATCCAGCTGCTGCAGACATCTTCCAAACTGGATTCCAGGCCCATACTGCTGACCAAATGTGTTTTAAATGGGAGGCCGAATCACATCATCTGACACCCATCAGTGAGTCAAGATTCTACCCTACTTCTCACCAGAACCAGCAAACAAGCCTCTGTAGAATCTGGCTACTCCTCCAGGAGACTTACGGATTCTGTTCTATTGGGCTTGTTAGGAGTTGGAATCAACTTGATGGCAACGAGGTTGGTTGCTTTTGTTTGTGTTCTTTACCTGGAACCTTAATGGTTAATTCTGGAGCCTTAATGACACAATAATCAAACACAGGGCTGCTAATTGAAAGGCTGGTGGCTTAGTGGTGAGGAATTATACTGCCAACACAAAGGAATGTGGTTCAAATCCGCATGGGCAAGCACCTATGTAATATACTGCCTCTGACAATCCACTGGAGTTAGGGGTCAGTTCTGACTCAACAGTACACAACAATAACAATGGCTTCACGGGAGGAAAGGTCTGGTGGTCCGCTCCTTCCTGTGAAAATTAGAACTTGGAAAGTCCTATGAGGAGATTCTGTGCCAGCACATCGTGTTGGTAAATAGCACCTAGCCAGAGCAGTCCTCCTCCCCGAAAAAGCCAGGCCGAGCCGGGTGTGCTGGGTGGCTCCGGCTAGGTGCTATTCAGCTTTCTCTCCTCCTCTTCCTCAGGTGCCTACTGCAGCGGCGGCAGCTCCGGGGATCGCTGGAGTCGGCAAGCTGGAGAAATTGGAGTTCGAAGAAGAAGCAGTCGATGACTCTGAAAGTTGTGTTTACATGCGATTCATGAGATCACACAAGTGTTATGACATCATTCCAACCAGTTTCAAGCTTGTTGTCTTTGATACTGCATTACAAGGTAAAAAGGCCTTCTTTGCCTTGGAACTGGCGTTCGAGCTGCACCACTGTGGGAAAGTAAAAAACAAAGTTTTGTAGGAATGCTAACAATTACAGATTTCAAAAACATACTCCATAAATACTACAAATCACCCATGGTACAGATATATGAATTAGAGGAACATAAGATTGAAACATGGAGGGAGCTTTATTTACAAGAAATATTTAAGCCTTTAGTGAATCTATCTCCAGAGGCAAGCCTCTTCGATGCTGTATACTCATTGATCAAAAATAAAATCCACAGATTGCCTGTTATTGACCCTATCACTTTATATACTTAGCCACAAAAGAATCCTCAAGTTTCTCCAGCTTTTTGATTCTCATGCTTTGAATATTGATGAACTCTTTGACTTGAACATTTTGTTTCTTATAATTGTTCATCTTTTCCTGATAATTATAAGGTACACTAAGAGGATGGAATCAACTGCCCCCTTTATAAAAGATGTCTGATATGCCAAAGCCTGCCTTCATGAAGCGGAACCTGGATGAGCTTGGAATAGGAACATACCACAACATTGCCTTCATACATCCAGACACTCCTATCATTAAAGCCTTGAACATATTTGTAAAAAGATGAATATCAGCTTTGCCTGTTGTGAATGAGTCAGGAAACAAATTTGATGTAATTAATCTTGCTGCTAAGAAAACATACAATAACCTAATAACCTAGACATCACAGTGACCCAGGTCCTGCAGCACCAGTCACAGTATTTTGAAGGTGTCGAGAAATCATGAAATGCAATAAGCTGGAAACACTGGAGACCATTGTGGACAGAATAGTGAAAGCTGAGGTCCATCGGCTCTTGGCAGTCAGTGAAGCAGATAGCATCGTGGGTATTATTTCCCTGTCTGACATCCTCCAAGCTCTGATACTCACAGCAGCAGGTACCAAACAGACAGAGCCAGAAGCCGAGTGATACACGCAAGGAGAACTTCCACAGTGCTCCAGGTCATGTTTTACTCTTCAACACTGACCACAACAGAAGAGAGTAAAATGATATAAGAATGTATATCAGGGTTTAGTGATGGGTATTGGGGGGCTTTTCCCAGTGATGTTGAAACTAAGCATTTAAAAAAAAAAGGTTTTATGTGCTTGAAGATCCGGGCTTGCACTAGAAGACTATTTCCAGACCTTAGTCTGAGATTTCAAATGCTGTCTGCCATACAAGTGCACTGTGTCCTGGGATTCCCTTCCTTTTCATATACAAGGGCCTGCTCGTGTGCAGCAGGCTTTGTGATGTATGGTGAGCGTGTGGCATATTCAGATCATAGTGCCTTATGTCAGAACACAGCAGTATGTCACCAGAGCTGGACGCACTAGGACCATCTGCTGGACCGTGAATGTCTGCACCTCTTACCAAATCAGCTTGTTTTCATTAGGTTTGTCCAAAAGCCGTCTTTTGAGTATAAGTAATTACTTTAAAACTTTAATGGTGGATCCATGTTTAAGTGTTTTGTTCTGAACTATGATGTAAAATACAAATACTTTTAAAACAAAAAAAATAAGAGCAGTCCTCCTTTGAGCCTTTAAGATTCAAGAAAGCAGGATGAATGTTGACATTTCAAGCTGAGGAACAGCATGGATTAAGGCCCCATCGTTTATATGATATCTGGGAGCACCGTTCAATATTCCTGGGGTTTTATGGATTTGAAAGTGGAAGAAGTGCCAGAAAAGGAATCTAGAACAGTCTGGAGATATGTCAGGATGGTTAACCTGAAGTCCCTGGGGCTTCTAAGCATAATGTGTGAACATTTTATTTTATTGTGTCTATATACACATATGTTGTTGTTAAGTGCTGTCAAGTAAAGCCCATAGTGACCCTTTATCAACAGATGTGGTTTTTTCTGCTTTCAGCTAAGATCTATCTGATGATCAGCAATGATATCCAGGGTGCCACCACCTCTTCTAAATCCAGCTTTAACTTCAACCAGTTCTCTGTAAATGCACAGACATGTGAACATGTCCAGGACTGCCTTTGTTAGTTGAAACATGTCAATTGGTAACCCATCTATTCCTGGGGCCTTATTTTCTTTCTAATACCTTCAGTGCAGCTTGAATTTCTTCTTTCATTACCATTGTTTCTTGTTCATATGCTACTTCCTCAAATGGTTTCTTGTTAGCCAATTCTTTTGATACAATGATCTGTATATTCCCCCCCCTGTCTTTTCTGGTTATTTAATGCTTCCTGAATCAATGCAAGATTTTGCCCATGGCCTTCCTTAGTATTCTAACCCAAGGTCTCAATTTGTTTTCCAGTTCTTTCAGCTTGAGAAATGCTGAATGAGTTTTTCTCTTCCCCAACCCCCCTCCCCCAACTCTCAGGCCAATTCCTGCTCTTTGCACATTTTATTACAATACTTTTCTTTGTCTTCTCAAGCTTCCCTTTGAAATATGTTTTATCTTTTATCTCTGCATTTTTCCTCTTTATTTTGATTCCTCCGTGCTCTAGT